GCTTGATCGAGGATAGAATCAAGCCGCGGAGTTAAAATCATAGCGATCAAAACACTCTGCTTCTCGAGCGGCATCGTATGGGAGACGACGATATGTCAACGTCATTCGCGCTGCGTGTCACTGCCTTATATACCAGGTGTCCCGAAATTAAGATCGGAAATCAAGATTCTTTTACGACAAAATTAGAAAAATCGGAAATTAACAAAAATAAACATTAATTATTTTCAGCCAGATTTTATCTGCATTATAGATTTATTTAAAGGACTCCGTCCTTATATCGAGAAGAAAAAAATAGCATAATGTCTATAAAACATACTCCAAAGTGACAAAGAATCGTTTTATCTCATTTTTCTTCTCGACGTGAGAAATGCTCAATTTTAATTTGAGGCTCTTTACATCACAGATTTCGCGACACCCTTTACAAGCTTTCTTCGTTACGATGACCGTCGTGATTATACGTTTTATAAATACAGAGCGACAGACGTTCCTACTAGTTGCTCCAACATCGAAAGCACGACAGACAGGATAATTGATAGCGGAATGCTAATAACTCGTACGAGGCGGGCATTATAATAAGTTTTTTGCACGGCGTGTGCCCCGCGTCTAGCGTATTCTCACTCCCCTCGGTGTGTCACGAGTGTTCTTTCCGGTGCTTATTAGCACGTAATTTGCTTACTTTAGCCTCGGCGTTGGTGGCAACGATTGATAGGTGCGATTGGTTATCGCGTTGAAACATCGTATTTGCAGAAGTTTCTATTTATCCTTTCTTGGAGATACGAATCTCCGCCTACCCATAAAGAATAAGTGTAGCACTGTACTTTAACACACGCACGCGCGCTTTATGTATAAAATTAGCCAGGATACTCTAACACTTGCACAGATTGAAACAAATAATTCTCAATAATTCTCGTCAATAATTCTCTATTGACGAGTCAATAAATTTGACATCAGATAGATTCAAGCGTGGAAATAATTTAAAAAAAAGAAATGTAGTTAAAGATTCAAGCAAAATGCGATCGACCAAATAAACTTGAATTCAGTCGGACGTACATATGTGAGTTTTCTCCGAATAGATTAGTAATTACATATGCGACGGAGTGAAAAAATCTTAATACAATTTGCCGGGATATTAAGCGCACGGAGAGTGTAATTACAAGTGCTCATACGCGTTGCTTTCCTCCGAGTGATTATACATCGCGGTACAAAGTGTTTTAATAATTACGGTAGGCGATAGAAAGCGTGTGTGCTCGTATTAAGGAAGAACTACATTACTGTATTTTGAAATAAACACTTCGATATCGTTAATCTCATTACGCTGCATTCGAATTTATACATTTAATATTCCGTGTATTATTTAATGCAGTGTAATTTCGAAAATTTTCGCAAGATTATTAATTAAAGAAATTATCTGAATTTACAGATTGTAATTAATAAACATATAGATATCAATCGAGACATCAATTGATATATTAGCAGAATATTACATGGATCAAAAAAATATCTAGCACTCTTCCAAGTATTTGCTTAAAATGGGTAAATATGGGAGTACTTCTCCAGCGAAGAAATATTTACTAGGCAAATATCTGAGGCTAAGACAAGAGACCTCTCCATTTGCCGGTGCATCTGGACTGGGCGACGGTAGATGCAACGGCGTCAGACTTTGCAGTTTATATCGTTCTTTCTAATCTCCACGAAAAGACTACGCGAAAGAAACATCAATGTCGGTTGATTTACAGAAATTTTGTCATTTTCCACGTTTCAATTTGAACTTGCCAACGTTCGCCAATTTGAATGTACGCTCGGTAAAGGCAACAATTGCTCGTACGAATTGAATCCTGAATCTAAAATACCTCCGCAGTATCATATATTCCGTTTTGCGGAACAAGCGGCGCGACGGGGGACGTCGGATAAAATTCGCTCTTTCGAAGCGGGAAAAGAACGCGCGCGCGCCCCAATACCAACCTGGTGGGAAAATAGTGGAATCCCTGATGGACGTGTAGGTCCATGGGCATCGCGGGATGAGCGGGCCCGTGGTGTGCCGCGGCAGGCACGTACTCACCACCCGCTGACATAGGAGGCTGCATCATGCCCGCGGCGGCGGCCGCGTGGTGGCCCGCGAGCATGGCCCCCCAATGGAAACCAGGTGCGCCCGGCATCGCCGACGGGTGCTCCAGCTCGAGGGCACGGTGACTTCCGCCGGCACCACCGACGATACCACCCCCGGTTGCGCCTCCGGCACTTCCGCCTCCGCGGTGCATCCGCCACCCTTCCACCACGAATGTTGATGGTATCTCCGTTGTCGCGGTCAGTCGCGCACTCTTTCTCTCTCTCTCTTTCTCTCTCTTTTTCTCTCTCTCTTTCTCTCCCTCCGATAATTCACTCAAACGCTTACTCTACTCACTTACACACTGTACGTATCGCGTGTCACTCGCACTCTTAACCCGCACCCTTTTACCGACACCCGCGGTGCCTGCACCACTCGCGCCGGCAAACTCGGCTGCCGGCGGGCTTCTCTCCTGTCGAACGGCTTGACTCTTGGATTCGCGACCCACCGCACGCGCACCATCGACAGGTCCTTTATCCGCGCGATACGCGGTCTTTACGCGGACGTCGTGGGTGCATGGGCACCGTCGCGGCCTGACAGCTGGTGACTCCGTGAGCGGCGGTAACGCGAAGGTAAACGCGACGGCGGCGACGACGCGGCGACAGCGGATGCGGATGCTGCGGGGGAGACAGGTGTCCGCGCCGTAGTATCCTCTGGCGAGCCGCTGCAGCCGGACGGACCCGAACAGTGGCGCAGCCTTTAGCTCGGCCATGAATGACGTACTGTATTCCGAGTTACTTGACGGAGGCGGAGCCTCGGCCTACTCTCGCCCATGTGATACCTCCCGCCTCCATTCCCTCTCCGGCCCTCTTTCCTCCCGGTATCCCACCGCTGTCCGCTTCACCCTCTCGCGACCACGTGCGCGCGCGCCCGACGCGGGTACACTATCCTCTCTCGGCTGTTGTTGCCTCCCCCCGTATTCCTCCGCGTGTATATCGAACTCGCTGCTATGACCGAGTATATTCTATCGTAATGCAAGATGCATTCGCCTCGCAATGCAATTTATAATTCAAACATTTACAGAGAAAGAGAGAGAGAGAGGGGGGGAGAGAGGGAGAGAAATTAGATATATGATTTGTTGATAACGCGTTAACATATCATGTCTTTCGTTGAAATATCATTGAAAATCTAGGCGATATTTTTATGAATAAAAAAACCGCGTGTAGGAAAAATATCGGAACAGTTAATATGCGATTCTTCCACGCGATTTCACGCGAGAAACGCCCCCGTTGACCACGCGCGGGACGGACAAGCGCGTCGCGGATCGACGAAACCGTAGACGCAAACTCATTTTGGCGTAACACTTGTTGAGCCGCTTCGCCCCCGCGGCAGACTAAACGCGTCCCTTAGTGGACGTTTCATAAACGCGACGGAGGGTTTTGAATGTGAACTTTAGTATTCATTTGGAGCACACGTTCACTCGCACGCAGTACACCGAGGACTCATTTTCTTCTAATGCAAAATCTTATTGCATGATGCGCTTATCATCGTCAAGCTCTAATTCTGTTCAAAAATAAACAAGAATATTAAATATTATGTGCGTGATCATTGCTTAATGAATGATTCTTTGGCTCGACATTACATTTCGCATTAAGGAAAAATTTAATTCTTTGTCGCTTTAATTCTTGTCGACAAATTATCGTATAACTGTATTCTTTCTCTCGCCGGATACACTTAGACAGTACCGAAATTATAGCTTCTAATCAGGAATTCGCCGCGCAAATGGTAAATAAAAACGACGCTGTAACGCACACATTAAATCAGCCGGAGTTACGTCAACCCCTCGAGTTGTAACCGTTCTGCTACCATAAAAAATTTAATCAAAATGCCCTCTTGGTAATTTACAGCTCGCTCAACCCTTGCCAAGGCAAGGTGACTCCGGCCAGTGGGAGGCGATCTCCCACTGGCTTGCTTAAGTAAGTCGAGTTGAAGTAAGGGTTGCAAGACGATAGAGAGGAAACAGCGGAAAGTAAGGGAGGAATAAACCCCGTAGGAGTCATAGAACGGCAGTACGATGCGGTCCATTTGCCCGTTCGAGACTCTTCTGTGTAAAAAATAATTCAGTCCTTGCTCGTTTGTCTCTTGTCCTCTGAGCTCACGAAACAGTCAGCTCGAAAATTCTAATCTGCCAATTATACAATTTTTGCATCAGTACTGAAAATTATTGTTTCCAAATGTGCATAATTTTTATCTTTTTATCGAATATAACTAACTGCCTTTGTGCAAGAATCGTTGAATTATTTTTGTAGTAATAGCTTTCGCTATTACTAAAAATTTTGCAATCGCATTCCATCAATTTATTTGATTTCTTTCCACCATTGCGGTATTATTTCAGACCGTGCATAATCGAATCCGTTATATTCATGCGCGACACTCATTCGCGCAGCGGCAATAATAATTTATTTGCAGCTCCGACTTATTGTTGTCGGAGGGCAACGTCATGCCATTAAGTAGATTCTCTTAAGCAGAAAAATCGTTCCGCGCTGGCCTACCTGTGGCTACAGGTGTGAGTCGTAATAACATAGTGGGTGTGCCCTTTAACCCCTAATATCCCTACCTTCGCGCTGACTTCACTAAGGCCGCCGCAAACGGACGTAGGAACACGGCAATCATCGTACCTCTGTATCAATTGCAGGCGCATTATTATTGCGGATATACTTGGCGCTGCGTGTGTCGTATCATTGAACTTTCGGCAGTACGCCGCGATTGCAAATGCTGTCAGGGCTGGGAGATATATGTTATTTTCGAATATTGCAAAATACTCTCTTCTTCTCTTTTCACATCGCGCAGATGGGAATCTTTTTAAATTGTACGGCAGGATTGTGATAGGAATCTTTTTCGAATTCATGGATCTTCGCACAGGAATGAAGGCGTGAAGTGTAAAAAAACGCATCCCTGAACGAGAATCACAAATTTTATTTCGAGATATTTAAAGTGTAGCGTACTAAAGTCTAATACTTCAATTCGTGAAAAGTATTATCAATAATGCTCGGATACTGGTTTAATACTTTATGATCGTACAGTCATTCGTTGATTACGATAAATTGCGGTAGAAGTGGAACATAGATCCGAAAGTGAGTGCTTCGCAAACGAATTGCACGGCAAGTTGAGCAAACCAATTTGGCGATTGTATCGAGATACACAGACACAACGATACAATCCATATTGAAGTGAAAATGATTTGAAATTCAAAGGAGTATGAAGTAATTTGTTATTTATGCGTTTTACTTTGCGAGAGCAATATTCGAGAGAGTGCTAAAATCGTTGAGTAAAAATTTTCCGTAAAACTCGAGTTTTCAAACTTTGTTGTTACTAGCAATCGAATAGTCAGTATAAAAAGATCAAAATTTTAAGGAGTTTGATGAAATCTTCGAAAGAAAAAAATTAGTATGCCTTACGAAATAGTTCGTATGAATAAAATATTAGCTTACATGTAATAAATTTGTACCCATCGCTTCTATTTGAGCGTCAGACGTAATATTTAATATCTTTGATTTTTATGTATACCCTGTTTTTCTTTAATCGGTTAAAAATGGCTAAAAATTATTTTATTCATGTCTCAAGTAGAAGCGTTGCTACTCTTACACGTCTAAATACATTATCGCTAATATAATTTTAGCGGTTTTTCAGACCATCGTTATTCACAGAGAAAATTCTCTACAAAAGTAGAGTATGCAATAAATAACCAATTGTGCCATAATTTTATTATATGTTTATCAATATCAAAAATATCTCGTCAGAAAAAAGATTCATATAATATGAGATAATTTTAAGAATTATCATCAATTGTAGCATTACAGTGCAGCATTGCTCTGTAAATCGAACGATGATCTTCGAAGATACTGAATATCATAATACATTGTTCGCACTTATCGAACTGAATACCTTTTTTATCTTTTTTTTTGTGGAGCAATAATCATATCATGACTCCCTTTAATAGTAATTAAAAAAAAGACACATGCAAAGTCTACACCTAATTCATATGACGACATAAATGAATATATTCAGCAAAATGATAAGCGTGATACAACATCACCAATATACCTTCATTGACCGCGTGAATAAAATAACAAAGTAGATATTCTAAGTAACTTTTTTGATTTCTCAGGTACTTTATAAATATTGTTATACTTTTTCATAAGGCAGATAAAATCGTATCGCGTTCGCGATACGAGAACGAAATACATCTGAAATGCGTTACTTAAAATCGCTATTGACATATTCAGACGCGCATTAAATTTATGCGCTTTTATTAAATGCACTTTTATATGCATCTTTTCACCGCGAAAAATATTTTCCGATAGTAATATTTCCTTTTTTTATCGTGTTGTAGTAACATAAAAATGAAAAAATTTTGATAGCATTTTAAGTAACACTATATTAAAAAGCTCTGTGCGATATACTCAATTATCTCATAATACTACAATCGTATATAAAACTTATACGATTTATGCTATAAATGTAATAAGTATAAGTATCCATGCAAGTCAAATCGCCATGCTTTTAAAGTGAATATAAAGTCACTTGATTATTGAGTCTCATCGTTCTTTTTAAGACAAAGATCTTCGTTTCTTTGAACAATTGCGTTGTGACAACAGAACGATTGTGTCATGATAAATACACTCTACAAAAGTATTCGGTGCCATTAAGCAATCGTTCATTTAACAACAGGCAATAAAATCGTTGCCTCTCATTTTCACGACTCTTTTTTTTTCATCATAAGTACGTATGCGTACTTCATTATTGGATAACTATAATTATCCAATAAATCGTCCTCTTCGTATGTGTGTCTCAAGTTGGTGTTAAACCTTAAAAAAAGTAAAAACTTTTCACGTAGATTACATCTACGTTCGAAAACAATAATCGAGCGATGATCGTGCGTCGATTAGAAAGTCGGTCGCTTTCTTACCGCTAAATTATCAATCAAACTTCGTAGGAAACAGCGGAACTAAAAGGTATCTCTCGTTCGAGTTAGGCCATAGGAACCATCATTCTGATTCTAACTACTACGTAATGATATTTTCGTGATTGATAACGAAATAAAAAACTTTCCTCAGCACAGTTTCATCGCAATGTAATGAAACTATATTAAATTACGCTTCTGATAAAAATCAACTTCGTCCATTACGACGAAGACGCTGATCAAGATCAGCTCCGAAAAAGATTAAAATTCTCCACTTTCAACATCTTCACTGGCAGTTAAACCCACGATTCTCTTATCGCTCTATCTCGAGTCGATCATTCGAAAGCAATGAAATATAACACATTCTTCTTCGCATATCTAACTGCCCTTGCATTCCGCAAGCTATTTAACGCTCATTATCCGAGATAGTCACCGTTGTTTGCGTTTTATAGACACAACGTACGACGGTACGAAAGAGTAACCGTTCTCATCATTCCGTTAATTCTAACACGTCTCGCAGAAAGTAGAGTGTCCTTTAAATTGAAGCATGTAGGACCTCTGTTATCAATGCGGTCTTTAGTGCATTAAATATGAAAAATATGTTCGTCTTACTTCTCGCTGAAGAGATATTAATACTGAACAGCGCAGTATCTCTAAGAATATCTCCATCAAATGATCTCTGAGCATCAACCCTGTGAACATCTTGATTTCTTAGGCAATCATAATGAAACCTTGCCTAATATTCGCAATATATCTGTATCACTTGTACAGAAAGAAAAATAAACTGTTGGTAACCGTACTACCATCCATAGATCGATGTAGGTGCAGTAATGCAAAGTGAAAATTTGCAAAATGATTGGACAGTGAAGTAACGGTGATTTGATAATTAGTCTTTATCATTCTATTCCCAAGAGGAATGAAAGAGATATATGTTTCGCTGTGATATTTTTCGTGCGTATCGTGGTGTTGTCTAAAAAATTCTAAGCCACGAAACCATGTCAATCTGTCGTTATTTTACATAGCTATAATTACTCTATATTTACACATCGATCGTTCGCTACCTCCACGTAGTCCGCAAAAATGCCAAATGGACTTACCGACGATATCGTCTCTCTCATGAGAAGATCAAGATCTGCATAAGTATAGATCGGGATCATTACGCTAGAATGCGATACGCTTACACAGTAAGCATCGTGCAAATTGTAAGCTTCAAATCATTGGCCATAAGGCATCTTTCGTTACTTCGCATCGCGTGTGAACTCAGAATGGTCGCTTTCGTAATATATATACGCGCGCGTCGCCATTCCATTCTCTTCTTCATTCATATCTTCTCAAAAAGAGTTTACAAAATAGATTTCCACAAATTATACCGTTCTCTCTGTCAAAAGCTTTCCTTTTTGAAAAAATAATTCTCGCCCCTTAGCACAAGTCGCTTACTATTTCTCTCTAAGTCTTATATTAATCATCATTTAATTCGTAATCCAAGTGCCTTCAAATATCAAAGACACGCTCAAAGGAAATCGACAAATATATATATATATATAAATATTTACAATTAAAATTCTTGCTAATCACGAGTCGTTCATAATCTTAAACGACGCATATGTATCTCTCGTTAAAAGATCGTACATGAGAGAATGTCAAAAGCTGTCAAAATATATCACAATCTACAATTTTCAATCATATCAAAACGAAACATATGAATACCATCGTCCGTTTATACAAGATTTAGTTTAATAGCATGCACGTTATTGACATTAAAATGAAATAAGATTAAAAAATGATAAGTAGGAGGTGCAAAGTGCTTCAAGAGTGATATAAACGCATGCAATACGTGCTGAACTATACATATATGTGCATACATTCAAATTGTTGCCGTGCAAAGTATCATAGCAATGTAGAAAAAATCAATTTCGTTGCTCTAATTAAATCCACCCCTTTCTGATGTGAGTGCAATAATCATGTAAGTGTTCAAAGAGAAATTTGTACACAAAACCTATTTTTTTAGCAAATTAATAGAATTTTCTTCAAAGCGGAAATATGCGGCATAGATTTTGCGATATGGAGTTGGTGTATGAGCATTTCACATCACATGGATAGTGATGTGAAATTTGCAATGACGGAAATATGTTAGGATAAGCATTCGTTGTTACGAAAATGAAGATCACGATGTTAGAAACAGTATTGCGGGAGAATACTTGGAACAAAGAGGAAGATTAACAACGTGGAATCAAACTACCATTTCCCAACAAAAATCGATATGACTAAAATCTCGGCTATTCAACCGTACGACGTATAAGATTCATTCGTCGACATACTTTCTCTCTTTCAAGAGGAAAACCAAATATTATCCCCCGAAAAATACTATACAATGTAAAATATATAATATATATTCTGTATATATATATGTATATATATAAATAAATATTTATAGTTCAACAATAACATAAGCTGCAGACTCGCGCAATTCAGAATGATAAGAAAACAACTGGCGCCTGTATCGATATCGTAATGTACTTACGTCTCGTCCTTGCGCGAATACTGAAATACCCTTAAAGCGCAGGGTACCTTGATACAGGTATTTGTAATTGTAACGTTCGTGATTCGTGGCTAGACTATCTTTATGCAAATTTAATCGGTTACTTAACCGCAAATTCAACCCTTTCACCGCGGAAAAGTACGCGTATCAATTCGTACTCAAAATATATATTACTTTTGCAAACTTTTCAATTTTTCTACTACGTGGTTGGACCGGATATGTTCAATAGTTTACGTCATGATAACTATTGTGGAGATGCCGGAAATTGTTAATCAAATTTTGTATGTGATGTGACAAAGAAAAAGAAAAAAAATAAATAAAAGCATATGCAGGCAGTGAAAAAATCAGTCATTACATGCAGACAAATGCATTCATCTCTAAAAAAATGTGTTACCGAATTTTCAGATATTCAAGATTAATAATCCACTAATATGTTTTAATAGCACTCGCTAAAAATTCGCGGACAGTTTTTATGCCACGAACTTAATCGCTAATCGGCGATACATCGCGCGCGTATCGGAATGGATGTAATTATCCATTTTTTCGCCAAAGAATTCGCCAATTCTTGGCGTCGATATTTCTCAATTGTGTTATACCTGCCGTATTGCACCGCTCACACCGGCGGTGGCCCCCTAACGTAGCGCAGTTGCGGCGTGAGCGACAGATTGAGCGTGTTCGCAGCCTCGCAACAGTGCGGCTCCAAGAGGCAAGCGGCGCAGAATAGGGCGACCAATGCGAGCTGGAAGGGCAGTGCCACCTTGAGGATTCGCCAGATCCAGCTCTTAGGAGCCGGCTCGCTGTCGGGGTAGTCGCCCTTAGCGACGCCGGCGTTTCTCTTCCTGGTCGGCACCGATTCCGCGTGGCTTTTCGACGTGATTGCGTCACGATCGGACGCCTTCTTGCGCTTGCTAAAAAAAGTAGAGAAAAAAAATTTGATTGGCCGAAATGACCGTATCATTTGCCGCAACGTCGTACATGACAATATTACGTTTGTAATCCTGCTGATGTTATTAACTTTACATGATTTTGCTCGTACATTATAATTTGTACCATGATTTATTTGTTATCCTACTCTCGTGAATTTTTTAAACTTAAATTACAATTCAGTATTTACGTACGATTTTTGTATAAATGTTTTACTTAGTGACGCGCTAAACAGACATATACGCGACCGTTTAGAGGAGAAACTTGAAAGTCCGCGACTGCGAAAATTAATTTACGCCGTCCCACGAGTCAAGAGAATACGAGTAAACAGTAATAGCGAAGTTCGCTGGGAAATCAATTTGGAGGTGCACGTAACTTGGAAGTTACGAAATTGGGCTTGCAATTACAGTTACCATTGTGTGGCTCTTTCATTAACATTATATAAGTGCGCGATTATTAAACTTCTCCTCGAATGTTTGCTCTATTTGCTGTAATAATTTCCAAATGGTGAAAAAAAAAGGTTTAAAACACTCCGTTGTTGCTAAAACCTGCCTGTTTACATGACAAAATAGAGAAAAACAAAACGTGGCGAAACAGAAGACCGTCAATCGAAGAAAATGGCACTGGCTTTTTATATCTCTTTTTACGACTGAGTACGGCAGATGCTTTACGCCCGCGAAAACTAAACCTATTATCGTCGCCACCGAGCGGTGATTGAACGTGGCTATAAAAACATTCTTAGAACAAAGTTAAATAAGGTACACCGTGGTGATAATTGGAATTTCGAGTAATTGCGATGATACAACAACGTCGTAAGATTATATTTGTCAAATGACAGAAGGTGAAAGAAGCTCTGCGGGCTGCCGACGTGGCAATGAATTATTTCACTCCTTTTTGAAATAAGAATTAATAGAGACATAATCATTCAATTAATTGCAATTGGTAACACTTGATAATATAATGATATATTTAATGTGTATTATCGACATAGAATCGCGAAAGCGCCGAAATAATGCAAAATTACGAGGAAAAAAGGCGCAGTTTATGAAAAATTATAATTTACTTCATTATTTAAATTCTTCTTGTACTTTCAAGATGTGCGCCATCAGAAACGGTACAGTCACCTAGCTCATTCTCGACAAAGTTCTTATATTCAAATGAGTAGCCGCTTAATGCCAAGTGCTGTGGACCAACGACCCCACGTCCCCACATCTAAATAGTTGACTTCATTCTTTACTTGCCATTTCGGCGTTATGCAAATGAAATGTCAGTGAAGAGGATGGTTTTTTAACTCTTATTTTTAAATGAATAAATTTCGCAAGCGTTCGCTTACTTAACTGGTTCGATTATTATCGCGCCGGATTCAATTAGCTTCGAGTCGTTTACGTTTTCATTTTTATACGTTCAAATAAAAACGGCGCGAAATTTGGAATCTTCGTAACAAAAAGTCGACAATTTTACTCACTCCGCAGGATAATGAACCTGACTGGCCGTCCGCTTGGTCGCACGTGCATCCACGCTCGCCGCCGTGCGCACGATGAGCTCCCTGCACTGCTTTTGCAAATCGCGCAGCTCGCTCTCGGCATCCTCGATCCTCTTCCAGAGCTCGGTCAGAGCCTTGCTCCCCGGCGCCAGTTGAGTCTCTAAGCTGCGCGTCAATCGGCGAAGAGCGGCTAATCTGTGCTCCCGCTCGCTCAACTCCTGCTCGCTTCCGCTATCGGAGATCCCGCTGTCGGAAAGGGAACCACCTTCCTGCGTAAGATTGCTTGCGGACACATTGGCAAATTTTACACAGTGTATTTCTTCCGTTGTCGCGTCGTTCAGCACTGCCTCGTTCTGGAACATGAAAATTATGAGCCGATGGTTAGCGAGTGTTGTTCAACACACAAGAGAATTGTTAGTTCTTTCATCATAAATTAATCGTGCACGTTAAGAGCAATTTGCAAGTTGTCGCAATATTTAGTTATTGATCAAAAGAGCTCAGCAGAAGAAAAAATCTCAGGGAGAATACTGCGGTAAAACGACACGACGTGCGACGGATCGCGAGATCCTGATAAGTGCGGGAATACTCGTGAGGGCACAATATCGAATATTGTATAATCTACTCTTGCGCATCACCGGAGGGCATCGAAAAGCGTATAAGACGATTATATAGAGTACGCGGAAGGGGGAAATCAAAAAGACGAGGGTGTAAGGTGAAAAGGCGAAAATAAGGCCGGGATATTCGGGCCAAATTGATCGCCATACGATTCTGCAACGAGTGTTTCGCGAGATGCGCGATACGATTTTCAAAATGATTCGAAAGGGGTATTCGCGCGATCTCTCGAAAGCTTTGTCAACGCAAGTCACGTATAAATGCATAAGGAGTAAATCAATATATTTTCGCAAAAGAAATATACCTGCGTCTCGGATCAGATACGTTTGCGCTATAGGAGCGCGACAGCACGGCGCGAATACTGGCGAGAATGCCAGTAGTAGTGGTCGAGTAGTAGACAGACAGCCGAGAGAGGAAGGGTGGCTGCGTGGAAGAAAGGGTAGGTTTAGGCTGTTTGCAACGGTGGAGACGGAGGGAACGAGCCTCCGGTAATGAAAAGCGCGATCCGCATACCAAGTAGCAACCTTCAACCTAGCCTATATATAAGTCGGTATACTCTCTCTCGCTCTCACATAACGGATAGTAGGTACGAAGTGAGTCGAGACGGAATCCACGTCGGTCCGAAGGACCAATCGCGCGAAAGAAAACTGTGAGGAAGTTCTTATTTCCGGTTACATTCGCAAGGCGTGTATATAATGTAACGGAGTATATATAGCGCAACACGACATAAAATATCTCGTATCGCGCGTACCCGCAAGAAAGGTGAGATAAAAAAATCGACTGACTTATCCGCCAACGCAAAATCCGATTCGAGCGCAAGGGAGGCGAAAATGGCGGAAAAGGTAGTTCAGAAAATAATTTTTACATGTACACTGGCCTTAAAGCACCTTCCCGCGTAAAGTTACATCAATTTTGAACAACTAGGAGGGGCGAGTCGTCTAAAATTGGTGCCGCTTCATCGTGAGGCGATATAATTTAAATAGTACAAATGCTAGATGAATCTCATTCAACATACGGTGTTTCTTAAATAATATTTATTCTATATTGTTAACGGGATTAAATGCGCGATTGATAAAGTTGCCCGTTGGTCACGTAACAAAACAGAATTTTCGAGGCGACATGGGCTACAAGCGGACCAGACAGCCTTGCTCTCTACCCACCGTTGATATTAAATTTGTATTTTTACGCTGATTCCACGGGCCATTCCCGTACGTGACGCGAAAGGGAATCGTTCGGGCGATTAACGATCGGAGTTCCCTAGGGAGCCGCTGGCTCTGAGATGGCCAACACCCTCGATAGCAACTCGGACTCGCTGTATCCCAGCGCCGAAACTTATCTCCTCCGCTTCCTATACAACCAGCCAGCTCGCATACATCGGCTAATATTTTATTTACTACCTATCAAAACTTATGGATTTTTTTTGCAGTTCGAAAACAACGACCGCGCCTGTCAATTCAGACTCGTAACGCGCTTTCGCCTCTGTTGAGACGATATGAAAAATTGTACGATTTGTACAAATTAAATATATGGTGTACGAAAATATATATCCCAAGCTTTTAAAGCATTACGAAATATCTTCATAATTTTCTAATTTACTGTCGCCATCGTCTCGAAGCACGAAGAAATAAAGCATTGCAATATTACAAAGAAAAAAAAGGCTGTAATGTCGAGTGCTTTATCGTAGCCTTCCCTCTTCTTCAGCTCTCTGAAATAGAGGTTCTCTGAACTGGAGGAGGGGGGGTGTGAGGGTAAAGCCGAGAGGACTGTCGCGAGGGAAAGATGGAGGCAGAGGAAGATAGAAAGAGAAAAGAAAAAGCGTAATGTCAAGTGCATGAAATTATTCCCTCGAGTGCTGTAGATCGGCAAGACTAAGAACTTTTCGGATTATACCACCTTGACAGGAATTTGAATACGTTAAAATATAGACGCGATACACATGGAAAGGAGAAGAAACGAGACGAAAGGAAAGGCTCCTATTACCGGAGAGAGAGTATTGTGTCGCGAGTCATACGTCTTCTTGACAGGTGAAATGAGCACGGGGACAATTGGAAAATTTTTACGGAGCACCTACAACCGATACGCAGCATTGAGAACGATCAGGCGCGAGCTCTCAAAAATATTTTTGACATATAAATATTTTCGTCGGTAACATCCCTTTGATGCCAAGATAAAGACGTATAATATATAAGTCATTTATTGAAAACATTTTTAAAAATGTTACTTTCCAATGTAATTTTCACTAATGATTTATAACAAGTTCCAAAACAGTAAGATAAAAATTAGTAAAATCAGAGTTTCTAATTTCTGAAAATAAATTAAAACAAAAACAAGATAACATAAATTAACATTATTCGCCTGAAAAATTCTATTTACTATTCGACCAATCGTCATCTTACGACAAATTAATCGTCATAATTCTAACAGCGTGATGCACTTAATTCCAAATTTCGGAATATGCATGTGTCGTACTACACAAGCAGGCTAGCTTTTATTACGCCAAAAATCTGCGCAATACGTCTTCCCGACAAGTTACACGAGCGGGCCGATCGGAAATCGCGGTCGCGAACTTACCACTCGCTGCACCTTCAACTACTTTCCGTGCGTCCATAAAGCAAAGAACCTGACGTAAAACGAGCTTGCCAAGAGATTTACTTTATATGCAAATTAAAGACGGATATGGTGGAAATAGGGGGATGTGATGGCGTTTAACGGAGACGCGATATCGACAAGTATCATCTGTCAAACGTACCCTCCGACCTGGCCCCTACTTCTCCTCCGCGTAACCTCCGCGTGTTCAGACTAGTCGAAGATTTATCTCCTGACGTGCGCCATATGTAACGTACGTATATACAACTCTTACATATCATGTATGTAATTCTCAAATGCGTCACTCTTTTAACGATTCTTATGCGATATTTAGTTGTCCCCAAACAATAAAACATTTTGTCAATCTTATATAACTAATATCTTATAAAAAACATGAACAAAATAATAAATTGAATGGTACGACCGAGCACAATCTCTGATTCCACTGTTTAATAACGATATGACAATCGAAAAGGTCGATACGATATTTCTGGTAAATCTGCAGTGCGCAATCTGAGAAACGCAATTTGCAAGCCGATTTAGCGTGACGTATCGGAAATACGGGATACAATCCGCATTATAATCTCGCTTTCCTTGAGGTAAGTTACATCCCCGAGACCCGCGACTCTCCCAATCTATGTGGGGAAATGGTTTTATGCACACAAGCGATACCTCTGGGAACCGTTACCCCATCCACCGGCGTTGAATAATTGCTAACAGCTATCTAACCGATTGAAAATCAAGAATACGACGGGGATATCTGACAAACGATTTCGCAAAGATTTCGTACAGTTTGTTCAGTTCTCGAGAAAACGGCAGAGTATAAATTAAAATTTAGCACGTCGTAATAATAGTACGACGCATTATTACCACTGCGTGCAATATTTGCCATTATTACTAATCGAAGAAAAGTTCAATCTAATCAAAGGAACAGTACCTGACAATTGATGTCTTGTCTTTCGGACAGAAGCCGGGCGACGTGACGAACGGAAGAGGCGACCTCCGAAGTGGCGCCCGCTTGCAGGGCCACGTCCAGGACCGCCAAGGTATCTTTGTCCCTCTGCAGAGCGGACTGGAGTTCGGCCAAACGTGTACCGAACTGCTGCACAGCTTGCAAAGCGCACAGCTGCTGATTACCTCTGGAAAGAAAAGCACGTTTGTAATAAGTATCGCGTTGCGTATCTTATTTTAAAAACTACATAATAATTGCGCAATTATAATTTCCAAATTTTCCATCGCTATGGATGGAGTACAAAATCAATGCCAATTAGTTAATAACGCGATATACAAACTACCTATACGTGGTATGTCGCGTTGAATTAAATTGGTGAAGAATTCTTTATTTTATTTGTTTCGTATAAATTATTCATTATTGCTCGAAAGGGTGAATATAAAGAACGCGAGGCAAATTTGAGCAGAAAAATCACGCGAGTCAATACAATAAAAAACGGAAAGAGGGTAAAGCCGTTGTGCAAACGTTAAGACGTCAAATTATTAGTAGTCCCTCCCTCAGGCACTATCGGCAAATAAAAACACTTTATTCCAGGTCAATCTGAACGTCCCCAGCGAACATACGAATGAATCTAGAAAAACTGGTTGCGTTCCTTTTCCGCATTGGCGTATCCGTCGGAAAAACGTAAAGTTAATACTTGTATTAAAAAAACATTTTACTACGTTGACACAAATTTTGGGGGCATCTTTCACCAATAAATAATCGATTAATTACGCGAGTAGAAAAGTGCGCGGTCAGAAGAGTTCGATAAGGATTCTTTGTGTCATCATGTTCCGCTAAGAATAGAGGTGTTCCTTCGTATGAAACGAAGGGATAGGATTGACCTCTGCAAACCCCAATGGGTCAGTGGTAAACCCCTTTGAATGGTCTGAGCCCCTATCAAAGAGGGGAATCGAGTGCTCATATGGAAATTAAAAGGGGATTGTAATGATTGTGCTAACTATTTGCCGCTCATCCGAAGCTAAGTATGTCGCAAAAGAATAGTATACAAGTTTTTAAATACCTCAATCATTACAAAAGCCACTGATAAATATATAATAAAAGTTTTTTTTTTCTGAAAATTAAAATTGTAAAAAAGTGAAGTCTCGTATTTTATATTTTGTATAAAGATCAATTGAAAAAATTGTGGAAATATTGCATTAACCCTTTCGAATCTTTATTGATCGCTTTTATGTTGGAGCTGTCACTTGGAAAAGGTCCGTGATTAAACGCAATCTCCGTTAAAGCTAGTAATCCCGCGACACGGGTCAAAATCCCAACGAGAAGAGCCCTTACTGGCGGTACCTATGCCGCTCTCGGTTTCCGCTGTTTGCTTTGGTGGCTTCATTACCTCTCAAAATATTTGCTTAACGTCACACGTCGACCGGCAAACGGCCAGTCGATGATACCAACTATTCTATACGAGATGTACCGTTGAATCTCGTAGTCAAGATATTCTCCAAATTAATTAAGAAAACTATTAAACGTTTCTCGCGTTAATACAACGCGACTTTCTCCAAATTTACATTGCATTATTAACTAACATTCATAGAGGCATTTTTCTAACTTACATTCATGATTATATAAATAATTAAATAATAAAAAATGGAAAATTTTAGTTAAAATGTATTTTGTAATACAAAATCACTTGAGAAGCGTTCAATTATAAATCTAATAATTTTCTTTCCGGAAATATACGCCGAAAATGAAAGAACAAAACGGTATAATAATAATTTCTTTTAGATTGTTAAAAGTTTGAGAAATAAATACAATTGATTACTCACTTTTGGAACGTCTCGTCCCATATCCTGTAAAGGTCCGCCACGCCATCCTTGAGGGCTGTGCAAATCAACGGCGCGGAGGCACCGAGATCGGTAATCAGTCGATGCGCGGAGACGTTGAGCGCGAGCATCGCCGGTTTGCGGTCCTTAAGAACAGCCAGCTCGGCCTGCGAACATAAAATATGCATTTTTAGTAGCTGGCTTGCTCGCCTAACTCAAACAAATTACCCGCGGTGCAAGGGCAAACGCGCAAGGGGTCGATCGAGGGTGAATGTGATGTATAAAGTGGCCGCAGACCAAGAATCCGGTTAAGGACACTAACAATAAGTAAGTTTTATCGCATTTCCACCAAAACATTGGATAACTTTTTTACGTATAACATTGCACTCTACCTACTTTACCATTTGCGAATTTTATCGCTACGTCGAGAGAAATAGATTTTGACAAATATTTTGATCGACAAGAAATATTTTCCGAAAAATTTCCAAATCTATCAGTTATCGACATCAATCGTTGAGTCAGCGTTTTATGTTGATCGACGAGAGAAAAATCGATGAGAGACGTAGCGCAACGGATAGCAAATGTCGGTAGGTGAAGGAGAAGGAAATTACTTTTAAAGGACGGAAGAGGAGGCAAAGGACATAAGACGCGCGAGATGACCGCAAGGACGAGCTTTACGAGCTTCCCTGAGGTCTCCTGCTCGTCACGCGATGAGCGAGAGAAATGGAATGGGAAGAAGAGGAACGGGCTCTCGTTTTCGTTCTCTTACGCCCTATGTCGCCGTCGTAAACCCGGGTTTATTTATGCGATCCTCGTCGGGAGCGTGTCTCGCGGTAGGACGACGGGGATGTGACAACGTGACGTGGTTACTGCATCGTGCACTATGCGTTCCCACAACCCTTATATTTAGCTATGCCGCCGGTGATAAATGCTATTTTTAGAACAGCGATTTGATGGAGCAGTGTATATCGACAAACGCTCCCTATCAATATATTGTCGTTTCTCGAAAGTGGAAAAATTTTAATCAACCGCTATTTCCAAGCCGCTGCAGTTACGCGGCCCTTTGTTTGTGCCGTCAGTCGGGACAAATCGCACGATGAAAAGGAGAGCGGCCCCAGCGCGGACGGTTTTGCGAAGTGCGGCGGCGAGGATTTGCTCCGGTGTCCGGCGAAAAGTGGTTGTCATTGATATTCCGAGCGCATAGCAAAGACAGAAGCGACCGCTCCCCTCTTTTCGTAACCACCCTGCTATGCTTCTCTACGCTACCACCGCCACCACCATCAGCATCAACGACGCATAACCAGCGGCAGCCAGCCGTTCGTTCCCCGACTACCCTTGCTGTGCCCTCGCGCAGACACGCACATTCCGATCTAATTCAATTTCCAATCAACAGCCAATCAATTGATTCGAATTCGGTATACAGAGAGCGGTCGCTACGCGTTCGGGACCTGCATGTCTATGAGGCCGCCCGCCACCCGGACACGTATCCCCCGTAAAAGTAGAGAATTAGCTTTTTACGTCTCGTAATTCCGCGATACTAAGTGGAACGGAGATCCGTTGTCGGTATTTTAATTGTGCCACGGTCCCCGCGACGAACCCCGCAGGTTCCGCACGATTCTTTCGGCAATGGAGCCGAGAGCGTTGCGAGGGTGGCTTTGCTGCTGCGACGAGAGAAAAAATATATTGGACTTTTCGAAAATGTTTAAATTTGTAGTCTGATTTCGCGATAAACATATGAAATTTTCTAGCGCTCTCACGCAATATTAATTTGATCGATTATTCGTTCCTACGATTTTACAACAGGTGCCGCGAAGTTATTGTACAAAATTAATGTCGCGGGCTCGCTGCGCGAGCTGTATCGGTATGTTTGTCCGATTTTCGCAATAATATAATCAGCAGGTGACGCGCTTCATCGAATCGCGTCGTACATACGGCCCACGCGCGAATACGTGCCACGGAATGAACGCGTAGACCCAATTGTGTTCTGCTTAGCGATGCATAATACATAACGAAACGTTCAATTCTGTCTCTCACGCGCGTCAGTCTGCATTTGCTCGTGCCGTTGCGCTTTTCGACATGCGGCCTGCATTCCAATCGCGAACTCACCACGTGCGTCGCGCTGGACAATCATCCTCGATACGTAATCAGCTTGTTGACGGTTTCCTCCTCGCGTAAGCACGTACGTACCCGCTGCAATCGCTATATTCGCGCATTTTCGACCGAGTAGCAAGTGAACTGCCCGATATTTAATATATTCCGCGGAAACCTGACTTTTCGCCGCTCAGCCGCTGGACTACAAATTCCCGCTGGAAGGCTATAATTCCGAATGTCGCGGATCTTACGACCGCATCGAAAGACCACGTCTTATCGGAGACTTTGACGGCGGCGAGTGTAAGATGTAAACGAAACATGTAAAACAAGAGCGCGGCTCTTCCGTCCGCAGCTTCGGACCGGCGCGGATCGGCGCGGGCTACACGTCTCGTGCATAATGCAGCAGAGCGACGAGTTCACCCGGCAAATGTTGGACGCTAATACATCTTGATGATAGATAGGGAGCATGTGTTTGGTCTTCGCAATGAGGCTGGGGAGAGAGTGCGGAGGATATTGCGGGGGCGCGCGGCGGGGGAGCTACCACGGAGGTTCTACGGTAGGGCTGGGATCTGCCGGGAGGATCGGGGGATGACTCTCGGGGGTGGGACTCTGCAGAGGGGGTTGGCTAGGTTCGTCGGCGTTCGCTCTCCGCGCGAATTGCGATGCCGGGCACGTCGCCGTCAGACGAGCGTACGTGCGACACGACTACGCTTTTACGCCACTACCTCTGCCTCTCTACTTGCTTCCTGACTGTGCGCGCGCTCTCTCCCTCCTTCCCGCTCTCTTTCTCTATCTTTCCATCTCTACCACCCTCATCCCCCGGCGATCCCACCTCCTTCGCCCGCTTTCATTTTGTCCCTCCTCCTCCTCCTCCCCGTCCGCGACTACTTGAGCTTTCTACCCGAGCTACTGACTTTTCTGTCTTACCCGCTGTATCAGAGACATCTCCAACGCACTTTCTCATTGCGATTCGATTTCCGAAGAACCTGCAGAAATTCACTGAGAACCGCGATACTTCAAAATAAAATGTATATGCAAAAATCGAACCTTTTTTCAAGCTTTTAAAACGCAAATATTTTTGATTATTATTTTTAGATATCAAAAATTGCAAAGCATGTAGCCCAATGATTGTTAATATATCTAGAATCATCTTGTTGAACATGTTTGATGAGATATTTTTCACTAAATTAATGTTGAGAAAATATTTTTGATGCGTTTAAAATAATAAAGTATTCACATCACTAAAATAAACATTACAGATTAAATTTGTTAAAGAAAGAAAATTTTGTTGTTCCAATGAAGAGTAAAATAGAGAAGTTCATAAGATTTCTGCAATATCAGTATCGAGTCGCAACAGAAAATTTATCTTATATATCAGAGGAAGATACAGTCCTACTGGTACACCAGCGATACGCTATCGGTATCTTTACCGACAGTGCTTGCATAATTACGTATGCGTGCAATTTGCTTACTACTGATAATTATTTACTATATCATCACAAATATGTATTGAATATTTCGAAATTGCAATAAAAATTAATTATATATTAACTAAATGCAAGTCGTAAGTATATACTTGATATGTAACACAAAATTCAATTAACTTGATTAAATTTCAAATTATCTTTCTCAAAACCAACTTCCAAATTAACACGCTTACGTGACTCTAAAGTAAAATATAAAATAATACTAAATGCAATTTACAGTGATCCTATTGATGCGATCATCGAGCACGTGCGGCTGTTCCAGGATAATTTCGTAATCGAAAAATTGATCGTGCATCGTTTTGAATTCCATTCGCATGGCAGCCAGCTCGCGATGAAGAGCGCTGGCCATTTGCGCTTGCTCCACTCGGGATGCCAAAGTTTCCCATTTCTCTATCATACCTAAACAAAATACACAACACATTAGTTTAACGCGATTAACATAATAAAAATTAATAATATAACATTGCGTTATTTAATGAACTCCTTTAGAATGCGTATCTAATAAAATATTCAAATAGAAATTCTGATAGTTAAAAGTATTTTCAATGAAATTTTCAATGATTATATTATTTACAAAATGTTCATTAAAATTCAATTAATTTCCTCTCAAGAAATTTTAAAAACTATAATATATATAATATTTTATAAATGCAGTTCCTATTAAATACTTTGTTAGTTTACAATGTTGTAATTCATTCAGCAGATGTTAAATTTTTTATTTCATCATATTATTATACACCCCAATAATTTAACATATGTTATTCCTGATATTCAACGCGCGCACTCATGCGATCAACCGTTTCCTTTTTTTTTTTAGCGAGTTTCTAAAAGCACGTGAAAGGAAAAGACCGGCAATTACTTTCCTATATGTTTTGTGGTTTCCGCGCTTTGAAGATCCTGAATAGAAATACTGTTATTCGTAACAACGGTTTCTTTGCGATAATTCATGATTCTCATATTAACCGGTTATGTAAAACAACGGTGCTCACAAAATCTTAAAGGTCAAGAGGCTTATATCTGTACCGTACGGCTTCCGCGACCTCCTTCCTGTCCGCCACTTTCTTTTATAGCGGCAACTTTTTCCTGACCAAAAGTCCGACGCAGTCATATATAACTCAAATAATATAAAATAACTAATCGTTCAAAAAAAAAATGTACGGAATATTATAGAAAATATTCGACGCGTAGAAAGTATCTGGTTTTACATTGACCTACAGGAAGCGATGGATCGTGTACTGCACAGTGTAAACGTAATAGCACGTGTTAGTGAAGCCGATATGAGGTGCATACATGATACGTACATGAACACTGTGGAATGTACAGTGAGATCGTATGCTTCGTCGCATATGATCGCCAGAGCGTAAATTGCTATTGAATGTAATTCGTCCCTGTATTTTTAAACACAACGCCCGAGGCATCTTTTATGAAAATACACGCGGAAATATATGCCTACGTATATATGTATATAGGCCTAAAACTGAATACGTAAACAAATTACTGAATGCGTAATCTAATAGCAGTGAGGTGTCTATTGATATAACTTAATGTAGAATGCATGATGCATGATGGATATTTTTACCCGCAACCTTGCGCTTGTAAATGCCCCGCATTTGAAAATGTCTTGCGCTGCGGTAAGATAATAACTTTCCCGAAACTAATCGCGATTTTATTTTGTTTTGTTGTTCTGAAAAGTAGAGCGACATTACGAGCGTGATCGTCAAACGGCATCGCACAGTTGTAGCATTTTAAACAGATATTGAGAAGAAGAGAATGATTGATAGATTTGGCAGGTAACGGACCGGTACCTATATGTGTATATGTGTGTGAGTACCATATGTTTTAACATTTGTACATTGCAATTTCAGCATCATTCCCGCAATATTCAGTATTTAATATTGCCAATAATTTGATATAATAAAATCCTTGAACAATATAATTAACTAAATAATCATAAAATAAATTTTCGTCGATCATAAAATAAAAATTATGATACAATTGCAATTATTGTTTCTTTCTTACACGTAAATGTAGCAACTGATTTTTTTTGTCCAAAAAAATTGTGAATATATAAATCGTTCTTCGCAAACATATTTAAAAAAACCAACTATTTCGCGGTTATCTAAGAATAAATATTCTTTACAATACAAAATATATAGCTTCAACCGTGTGGCAGCAAGAATAATGAAATAATCATAACAAAAGCATACATACGCAAATTGTTTGGGGTAATCTCTCTTTGCGCGAGCATCAGAGCGAATCGCGTTGTTAGAACGGAAAACTTAAAGTAAGAGATGATTATATCGATTGACGAAGTCGTGATAACGGATGAATAAAACACGTCGGAATGCGATAAACAAATGTTCGATAACACTCAAATGCATCCAAATGCATCGAAACACTGTTACAAAATGAACGTGAGCATTATACTGACATGAATACAGCGGCGATATGAAAAAGCGAGCGAATCAACGAAGCGTACTTCTCGCGCCAATGCGCCCAACACCGGTTTCTACACTCTAGCGGTAGAGTGTAATTAAGTTTTGCAAAGTTGCAAAGAAAAAAAACTCGCGTTTTTAATCTTTCAATTGTATAGCATTTAATATTTTAATCAATTTCAATCTTGTTTCATCACATAATCGCGTTGGCGGCATGTGCGTGGTTTCTGTCCTTTGTATCATATTTGCATTCGAGTCGTTCGTATATATATGTATATCTTCAAAAGAAAACTTTAACTACTTCAATCACCCGGGAATAAACATTCTTCTCCCGACTAATACAACATATATATAGCTCTAACAATGTAGCAGTAATAAGAATGAACTAATCATGACGAAAGCATACGTACGCGAACCGCTCGAGGCGATCTTCTCCCTTTGCGCGAGCATCAGAAAACTCAAAATAACAGGTGCAGGCGTCGACTATCCGCAACGTATCTTTTTTAAGGAATCGTTGGATCAACTAACGACACTTGGATCAAAAGCGACGCGATACGGTAAACGAAACGTCCGTTAACATTCGAGCGCACTGAAATACTGCGACGAAATCGCATTCGCGGGTGCGAGCTGTGTCACGTGACGCCGCAACTTGCGGCGATGCGAACGAATCGCACTTCTCGCGCCAATCTGGTAACAGTGTAGGCACTCTACCACTGGTTTCTACACTCTGATGATAGAGCATAGTTCATATAAGGCGCGACTTTCGGATACGATTCGCAGTATCCACCTACGCATATCTAAACACCTACATGCGGCTAAAGAAATATAGCTAAATTTAGAATTAGAATTTTTTGTTTAATTTAACTTAACGCTTAATATACTAGTTTGTAAGTGTAGAGTGATAAATAGTCGAAAGAGTGCTTTAAAATTAATGAATGTTGCTCATAATAATGATGTCTGTAAGATAAAAAAATATTGCAAAATCATTTACAATGCAATGTGATCATTAGAAGCGTAGATATTATCATTTTCTACTTTCTCTTACGCTTAGATGCGCCTATTTGAACTTTTCATCGATTAGAAAGTAAATTGCGTCGTCATTTCTAACAACAATCTAAATGATACAGAAGCGTGTGTGATTACGTTATTTAGCCTATTTTAATCAATATTATATATTATATTGATATGTACATTTTGTATTAGTCAGGTTTATGAATATCACAGGTACATATGTACAAAAGATATGGCACATGTGTACAATATTATATAATTTTTATTAGTTACAAACACCATACTTATTAAATAATAGTTACGATCATTGTACAAATCGTAAGAAGTTAAAATAATACAGCAAATATTAGATGCAATTTTATAATGCATATTAATAAGCAAATTGTGCATTAAAAAGCAAAACATGAATATATTTATTCAACATAAATAACATAAATGTTAAAAAAATATCTGTACAGAAATAAATTCTATTAATTGGATTAAAATTGAACCTTTCTAAGTGCGTGATATTTTACAGTGGACACAAACGTGTGTTGAACTGGTTAAATTAGGGCGACAATTTCGCAATGACAAAGTGGATTACGGCTAATTTTGACACAGCCGTTTAGAAAAACACAGTTACTTTCTTTTCAGCAAATTTATAAAATAAAATTGATATGGCAAAAATAAGAAATTTTTATGTGCAATTAAAGCGTGCACTCAAATATTTTCTATTTCTATTTTATCTATTTTAACTATCTATCAGTTCAAAAAAATAATCACGACTGTATTGATAATATAAAATAAAAGTAGACACGACAAAATAATGCAATCAAAGACATTTCATGTCTTTATAGGAAAGTTAATACTCTACGTGCATACATTAGTATACAGTAATATAAAAGTATTGCTTTCAGAAGAATTAGTTTTCACTACTATTAAAAAATAGGCACAGAAGAATAAACGAGATAAAAACGGTAATTATAAAGAAGAATAATAGAAAGTTAATCAATTGTTCGTACTCACCGCGAACTTGTCTCAAATATTTTTCACTTCGCAAGTATCCATTCTGCGATTCCAATACGGTCTGCAAACATCCTAAGTTTTCTTTACACGCAGACTCCATTTCAGCCTATTATAAATAGAAAGGTGAATCAATTAACTAGCATCTTTATATTATCATGATATAAATCAAACATAAGTAAGCCTTTATTAGCAAAATTATATTTTATTATCTGAATTATAATGTTAATGTTAAGAAAAAATAGACAAAAATAGACAAAGACTTTTTCTTACAATCAGATAACAATAATAATCAACTCAAAAATATTGTAAGATTAGTACTTGATTTTATGATACTATACATATACAAAATCTTTATAATCAAACAAAGCTATTAAAGAAATAAAGAAATGTACGTTAACAAGCATGATTTTAAAAAGCTAATTGTTATAATCTAAATTAGATAGAGAAAGAAATAGAGAAAAAAGAGATAATGTTGCAAATCTTAATGTACAAATTAATAAATTGAAATAAATTAGGTTTCTTATATCCTTAAGTTTTATGTAATTAATGAAAATTTATTGTAAAAAAAATAATTTGCAAATCTCATCCAACAATATGTTATATTATTAATAGCGCAAAAAAAGAAAGGATTATAATGCAGCAGATATTAATTAAACAAATTATATTTTAGACGTTCATAGATGCATACAGTATTTACGCAAAGTCTTAAGTAATTGCTACTTATCGAGTAAAATAACGACGAATTAAACGATTAACAGATAAAACTAAAAGCGTGCTCCATAAGCATCTATGTAGGATTACAGATTCATAACAGCAGTGTACAAATATTAATATAAAAATACGTACGAGTTCTTCAGGAACCGAGCCACTGCTTCTTACAAAAGTATTTTCAGTAACTATAAATTGCGATTGCGAATTTTCCGCAATTTTTCGCAAGCCTTCTTCGTCACTATCACTATCCTCTGTAGTGTAAGTTTCCTAAAACACAATTAGCTTGCATGAATAGCATTGAAAATATTATGTATCCGAGTGTCTCTTTAAAAATCAAAAGCAAATTACAAAGATAAAATACACAAATCAAACATGAATATGTTAAAACTGTTTTTATGTTTAAGCTGTAAAGCTTAAAATTTAGTTATTTACTTGCCATTATACATTTACTAAGATTTATATGATGTCTTGTCTTTATACATTCTAAGATATATGATGATCTAAGATTTATATGATCTATATTTTATAATATAGTGAACATATATTCGTTGAAACATTTAGTCTGTAATCATATAATTGTTAAAAGAGGCTTTGCTATAGCTGATGAATTATCTATCATATTTATTTTAACAAAATTATAATGTCTAGTAGTTATACTTTATATTGTAAATTAAGACTCCATTAAGACATTATCTCAAAACTTGCGTGCAACTAATATCATGCAGTCTACATTTATTCATAAAAAATAAAACACTCTATATTGCTTGAAAAGTTTATTTATCACGACTATAATCTAAAATAGTAATGCTTTATGAATGCTTATGTATGCTCCTTCAATAAACATTATAGAATTGAATGACACATTTGATGGCACAATAATAGAAATTGTGGATACATAAAAATCATTAACACGATTCTCTTTTATAAAAAAAACATGGACACCTGGTCAAAACAGAATAATGCTAAGGAACCTACATGATATGTACGAATCTTAGGCAGTGGTGAACTAGCGGGAATTGCGCTTATACTAGATGCGCATTCCGACTGACTATCGAGGAAATTGCGATAGTCATCTCCAAAATCCAACAATCTTCGAGCCGTATCTACATCTAACGGCTCGCTGTAAGCCTCACTCATATATTTCTCCTGCGAATTAACAAACCAATCAATATAAAGAGAAAATTGCTTTAAAGGTTATTATTAAAAATGCAAATTAAAATTACCTGGTAATTATCCCAAGCCTGTTCGGATAACGAATTGTTACCAAGACTGTTCATTTCTACGTCACTATCTATATTTAATTGCTGATTACTTAATTCTTTATTCAGCGTGGTATTCAACGCACTATTATCGTAAGTGTAAGGTCCTTGAGCGTAATTGCGATCCTCGCCTTCAGTTTCCGATGTGGAAGCCAGCGACTTACAGCAAAGTAGTTTGAACGGTGTAGTATTATTAACAAGCGTCCTTTCTACGTGTAATTGTTGATGGACGGTACAGCCTGAGAAAGACCCGGATTTAACGAGAGTCGTCGAGCGACTATAACAGTTTTCTTTCGTAATTGTATGCATTGTGCGATTTAGATTCATTTTACGAGACGAGCGTTGCTGATTCGAGCTGCCGTCGCTTCCAGCTGAATGATGATTGGCATGTGCACTTTCTGAACTAGAATCACTTTTACGACCCTAAATAGATGAATCGCATATTATTAAATTTTAATTTCATCTACAAAATAACTTGAAATACAAAGCAAAAATAATATTCAAGAAACATAATCTAGCAATCTGAATATTAACAGATGTTTTACACTGCAATCTAATATTTTCCTTACCAAAGTCTTTTTACGCAATCTATTTTTCTTCCTGCGAATATTTCTAGCTACGCGATCATCGGGAGATATAAGGGATTCCTCTAACAAAGTGGATGTGGAATTAAACGATTTCCGTGATCCTCTGCAAAATATAAATATTCTCAATAATAAAATCTATTTTACTACAAGTCCAAATAACAAATTATTAATGAGGTGAAATTTGATCAAAATAGAAAAACAAAGATCGTTAAAAGATAATATACTTACGCAGCATCCAAGGATACGGATTTAGTGGGCGGAGTTGTGACCAATTGATGAAGCGCAGTCTCAGATATAGAGAACGGTAAAATGGGATCATTCATTTGAGCTAAATTAGGATCTATCTCCGATTTGTGAGATACAAGAAACGCTCCACGGTCTGGACCCTTTCGCTTTTTGTTTAGAGCGCATTACGACCTTCGGTGTACTTTCATCGAGGGGTGCCTCGTTAACAGGCGTTTTCTGAACATTATCAAGTATCTCTTGTGAAAGGGATTGCGACATAGATCCAGGAGCGCCTTCGAATCGACGGTAAGTCGCGACACTGCTCTGTAAATCATCCGACGATATCGATTGTCTTTCGCCATCCGAATCTTCCGTCGTGTATTCACCGCTGGCGTCGCAGCTGTCTAATGGCTGAAATATACATGCATCGAAATACATTATTGTACAGTACGTTTTTTATTATCTGATGTTATGTCTTTTTTTTATCAAAAACAAGAATTTTATGCATAAAACACTAGTGAGATATAAATCTATCATATATATATTACAGAATTTCTATGTTAATAATACACACAAACATATGTGTGGTTCCTTCCAAGAGAAAACTTTGCTCATTCAAGTTTCCTACAAATCTATCGATCTAACTTAGCTTACCTGTGATCTGCCTTCGTGACTCCTCGACGCATTCAACTTTAACCATTCCTTTACACGCGCATATTTCGCTCGGTGATTATTCGTTATGTTCTTCTCCTCGAATACTAATTGCGGGAAATTCCGCGAGGCAGCCGCGTGTCTCTCCTCACCAATTAAGTTTTCAACTTCTTTAATTAATCTCTGAATACTTGATTTATCATTCTTTTTCTCATCATCGCTATCCTTTTCCAAGGCACAATCGTACACACGTCTCGCAGGCGTTTCTTTCTCAGCGCCCGCATTCATTTTCTGCGCAAAATGCATTTTTTCGGTCAGATCGACGCGCGGACTTTCGTTGAAGTCCAGACGCACCACAACGTTCGTCTTTCGCTGCTCCGAAACGACGAGCGAGTTATTTCGACGGGTGGAAGTGTAAGTCCACTCTTCCTCGGAGGAATCGTCCACTACATTGGTCGATTCCTGGACTGGTTGACTACAGTCCGCCTCCGAATCAGTGTCCAGATGCTTAAAATAGAAGGTAGCGCAGTTCTTTGATTTTCTGTCGGACCTAAAGATCAGAAAACAATTCGATATCAATTGATACCTTCGTGCTCGATAAAAAAAACTCGTTAGACATGTCGTTAGATACATGAGGAAACCCAACAATTAAGGAAATGACGTGCAATCAACCTACAATCACAAGTCGATTTTGCGAAATAGAGGAGAAAACAATAGAAGAGAATGTGACTCACGTGTTGAAGGACGCAGCCTCCTCCGTTGTTCCGCGTTTTACAAGCTCGCTCATCCGCAGATCGTTATTCGATTTTTCTGTATTTTCGATTTGCACGGTGCTCGCCGCGTCAATTTCGTCGCACGTCTCCTGCATAGCCGCCGTCGACGTCGTTATCGGCACGGTGTCCGGTGTAGGCGGCATGTCGTGTTGCTCGTTGTCGCTCACTCCGCTTTCCTCGACGTCACCTTCCTCCCCTCGATCCCCCAAGATAGACGTAATGGAACTAGTGGCTTCCCTTTTTACCGGTTCGTCGGACCTTGCGCCCATCACACAAAGCTGACACAATTCATCCTACATCGCCGTGGAAAGTATCGGTGCCATTATTGCAAACGTCGTACGCATGCTGTATCTTCATACATTTGATTATCAAAAGCTTCTTGTACGATAAGCGCTTACATTATCAGGCAATCTATTTATACGATTGCCTTTCTGATTTGCATTGTTTTATTCAGGAGTATCGAAAAATAGCAAAATATCTTTATATTATATCTAAATAAATTTGAATTTTGAATTATTACACAACATCAGTATATTGAAATTAAAGATAAAATGAAACAAGCGTCAATACCTACAATTTTAAGAGATACTACTTTCGAAGATATTCCGCAATATCTCCGACACGAATACTGTGGTTTTTGTTACAAAGTCAGCCGATACTTTTTATCAGAATCCACTGTCTACTGCTGTAAAATCTTCTGTGTACGTGCTCGGTTCGTTTTAAAGAATGTTGTTCTTCACGGTCTTCTATGCGGGACTTTGTCTACTTAACACATTCGGATGCACGCTCTTCTCTAGCCCACGCAACGTGAGGCGGTAGTAAGCTAAGTGGCTCTTATCTTTTGTTAAGACCAAGATGACTTGGTTTAACTCGTGTAATTGCGAGATTTTAGAGAGGAAGCACGATTCGCAACTCTCATGTACTTCGGTCGATTAAACAAAAATTTCCATCAATAATATATAACGATAATAATTAAAGTAAATTGCGCTCGTCAAATCGTTCGCATCAAAAGAACGTCTGCAGTACTCTCAGAGAGTAGAGCTAATATTTCTACGCGTTAATCGTGGTGCGCGCGAAAATCAGGTCAATGACTCATAATAGTCGTTTCGCGACAGCGGAATGAGGAACAAAGCAGTTATAGAACAACTACATTTTCTGCAGTCAGTAATTTTTCGTGAAATATATAAAAAATGTTTTTCGATTTTTGTGCAGAATATTTCATAAGAAACAGTGCAAAAACTTGAATGTAACTCGGTTAGTCTAAATTTATACATAACATTATTTATACTGATTACCAGATCGAGTCAATCTTATCTTTCACTAGATTATTCCATATTCAATTGAAAAATAAATATTGTTTGTGATACTCGCGTGATTCATATTTTATCGTAAGAGTCTTAATATTCCTCGTTTCGACGCGGTTCTCTTCGTTTGTGGTCACGACAGAGCGCCGATAGGAAGCGTTTCAATTCACAAATAAATGGATTTCGTGCAAAGCTTGTGGAACGCTCGGTTCGATCGTGGCGTCGTTAAATCAAAATGAGCAAACCTCTGAGTGAGAGGAGGTTCATAATCGGCGGAATTTACATACCTCGAAGTATGATCCCTCGCTGATGGATCGATTCTCGGAAGAGGCGTCGCTGTCGGACGGATCACTCCTCGCGGAGACTGGATGATTACAGTACTCGGATCTCGAACGTCCGGCAACACGCTTTGCGCGTTCGGTACGCGTCGAGCGAGCGGACTGTCCCGGCGATTCCGTTCCAGAGCCACGCGATCGTCCGCGGCTGAGACGAGGCTGTTTCGTGACTGGTTCCTCGTCGCTGTCGCTACTACAGCTATAAGGCACGGTATTCTGAAACATCCAAGTCCCTTTTACTCGATAATTGCTATCGTGGAGGCAATAGTAACCGCGATTGATTTCTACAACAAATCTCTACTATTGACGCAATATCTGTAACTCACTATCGTCCGAAAACATCGAACAGTACACGCTGCTGTGTTGCACGGAAACCGTCACTTATCTTGTATTAATAAAGATATCGCTTACTATCACACAGTATAACTGCGTCACAAGAACACACGGTTTCAAATTGATGAGATAGAGTTCGGTTGAACAACGTACGCTTTACTAAAATATTCTCTCCAAATGCTAATTCTTATATCCTCAACGAAAAATACTTCAGACGGGTCTCGTGCAACAAAGCTTTTAAGATCCTTCGCAGGTTCAAACAGGTAAAGGGCAGAGCAAGAGAGGGGATAAGAGCGTAGCAGGTAAGAAAAGTACGCCTACGCATACTATTATACATGTGTAGAACTCGAATAATATGAGAATTGTCTTCTCTCTCTCTTTATATAACACACTCTCTCTTTATACGTTATAATCTTTCTCTTTGAATAAATCTTGTATGTTAAATAATTTATTTTATATTTTTTATAAGCTATTACAAATTCGTCAAATTGTTTTAAATTCAATCTCATTTAATTATATTCAAAATTTTCTAAAACGTAGATATTCTTTTTTATCTTATTTCTTAATTTTATTTCTTATAAATCACTAAATTTAATGAAAAAAAAATTAGTCATGCAAAGAAGAGCCCTTACTTCCGCAGTGAGATTCATTTAAAATATATTCGTGTCATCAAAAACCTTTCTTTCTATCCGAGCGTCGAATACACAATCGTACAGCCGCGCCTGTTAAATATACTATACTATCTTTAATGCTCATCAATTGAGGAGCATCTCCATCAATTGCAATCACTAGCCATTTACTAATACTTGTCCACTCTTTATTTTCTGACGGCGCTCCTCAGCTTATTCTCATCGGTTAACATTGACTGATGCAATTCTCACAAGTTTGAGTTCAATTACACAAGAAATGCTAACAAAAATTTGAAACAACAAGATAAGAGTAATAATTAATATCTTAAATTCGAATAATATTGCCAAATAAAAATCAATAATTTGTTTCTAAATTTTTTTAAATATTAAAATAAGTAATAATGATCTCTTTAAAATTTTAATATATTAGTTTATATTTATAATTATGTCATAATCATTCAATTCTTTTTATCAAATAAGAACAAAAGATAATTTTTGTAAAATAGATAATAGAAGACTTGAATTTACCTTATTTCTTATGTGAGATACGAGGGTTTCAATGTGACACTGCCATTCCAAGGCGCGTAAAAATAGAAGATGCCAACGCCGTTCTAATGATCTTACTATCCGTAAAGGCTGCGCAGATTGCTGCTCTTTTTGCTGTTCCTGTCCTTGTTGCTGTTGCTGTTGTTGCGTAAAAACTTTATCTCCTAATTTGACAACTGAACTGACGATACGCCCGTGCGCCTCTATATCTCGTTGGAGTACCTGAAATATATCACACAATTATTTACTATCTTTAAAAGAAAGAAAAACAATAAAAAAAACAAAAGATACAAACAAAATAGATTAAATGATCAGTATAAATCTGTATTTACAACTATTAGAAAATGTAACTACTCTGCATACAAGACATGTATATATATCTATATATATATATATATATATATATCTGAAACATAATATGTCGCTATACTTGAATTCAACGACTCAACAAGACTGAGCGATTAATAAGCAGGTTCATGATATTCCGCGCAAGATCGAGTCGGAAGAAAGTAAATGCAGCTTAGAAGCATGTATCGCGCAAATATTAACTGACACTGCACACGCCAACCAGAACGTAAAGGTTAAATGCGCGTGTACAAAAGAACCGTCTAAAATCCTTCCGCGAAGTAGTCCAAGCCACTAAGTCGTGAGTTCTCTCGTAATGCATGTCCCGCCTGTTCGCGTTTCCTTAGAACAAGATTCTCAATCTTGGCGAGAAACAAAGGTGTTGGATATCACTCTATGTGGCCCATATTAGCCCACTTTCTCTGATAGATTGCATATGATTATGTGTGATTGTTCTACTTCTATCTCACAGCACGATACGATTGCCGTTTCTGCGCGCAATATCGCAGTTTGCTTTCACGCAGCATGCTTCTTGTACAGTTCCTAGTACTCTTTTTTTCATCTCATACCACCTTCATTGTCAATATCTCATTCGAACAAAAGGAGCAATGCAACGGCAACGCGAAATCGGCCATTGAAAGTGCGAATATCTCTTCGACAGGATATGAAGTGCGTATGAATCAAGCTTGGTCAGCTTGGATAACTTTATTCGTAGAAGCATTTCATACATCAGTTACCGCTAGTTAATAGATAACGCTAAATCATGACTAATATCGTAAAATGCGTCTTTCTTACTAGCAATTTATATATCGACGTGCAGGAATGCCTTTAGCGTATGAAGTTGCACCAATTTTGAATAACTCAGAGTCGGTATATCATGTCTAGATATTTATGTAGTTTTCAACGGTTAGTAGAAAGTTTGAAATTATTTTAAATATAGTCATGATGCGTGAATATCTAGATGCGCGTACCCTAACTTGTCTAGAATTGTCCAACACCGCAAATTGTCCAATTTTATCTCCAGAAAAAATGGATGCTTTTTAGGAACAGAAATCAAGTTTTTACAAGTTTTCGATATTTCGATTTTATATTGAAAATTGTCTTATTATAGTTTTAAAATGTCATCTTCGCCTTAAATCGCAATTACAAATTTCAAATTGCATTCGAGATAATCTTCAATATGAAATCGGATTACGAGAACCGTTCTAGAAGTCCACTTATGTTCCTTCCTGGAAAACAGCTATTATTAACAATCTCATTTCATTATTACGAAGGAATATGAGAAAAACGTGATATCCTGTGAAGGCTGCCTTTTTGTAGCTTTCAATCTACACAGCGGATACTAGTCTCAACATACCGAGCGTATAATATACGACTGCATGCGTGGAATCTGATAAGAAGCAAATAGGGTGGTCGTGACAAAATGTGCTACAATAAAACAGTAAAATCTATCGGTGCGTTACTCCAGCAGCGAGCACTTCGGCTTGCATGGGAAAGTTTAGCGACAGATATTAAGGAATCGTAAAATGAATTGGCTGTGCGTGTTTAAGGAGAAAAACACGACTGTAGCCAAACCTAACCTTATCCTTAGGTAGTATGTAATTTATAGTTGAATCCATAGCGAAATGCAGCTGCGCGATGTCAAGCTGCCGCATGGAACATGAGACGGGAGAGAAGCTGCATCGGTGGTAGTTCACGGATGCTGATTACCGATGTTATTGACATTCAGTGACAGAATAGAAAGAACACCTTGATGTACTTTCACGCCACAGAATAATAATCCGGTATATTCCAATTATAAAATTCCTTCTATTATATCGACTTTTCTTCTTTAAACAATTTACATTTGCATATTCGTTAGTTATAATAAGAATTTTTGGATAAAAATTGTAGAATATGCAACTTTAACTATCTGGGAAAGAAATAAAAACTCTTGTAAATTATAACCAAAATATTAAAAATCTGTTGATTGAGAAATAAAAAATGTGCAAAGAATGAAAAATTTGTTTGAAGTAAAATTATATATGAAGAGAAAATCATTTTCCATTATTTGATTAGAAATAAAATAGCTTAAAGATGTTCTTCTTAAATGAAAATTAAAAGCGTCTTTCTGGTTTTTCCAGCTCTCCGCTCTTCAACTGGTTTCTACCATACTTGTCAGAACATCACTATCTCATAGATTGAAAGTCTTGTTAGGGCAATAACCTTGACATTATATATTGCGATATTAACAACTGCAATTTAAAAAATTTAATACATTGAAAAATTTATGCAACAATCACACTTTTCCTTTCAGTTTAACAAGAAGTGAAACACTGCTATTTTTGTGGCAATGACATCGTAGGAAATGTTACGTGAAACAACAGGAAGTAAGTCGCACGGCGAACGTAATGTATGACGATATCATAAAGGATGCGGGTTCTCAAAGACATGCAATGTGAGTATCCCAGACGTGTCTATCATTCTATCACATGATGGTGATAATGTGTCCTTATGTCGGTCGACAACGACGAGTGAAACGGCACGTTGAATCACGCGAGAACTTGCGGCGATAGTAAAAGTAGATAAGTTTACAGCGGTTGCGTATTGAATAATTCAACGAACCTGATATTATCTCACACTATAAAATTAACAATTATTATTAGACGAAACAAAACGTAATTGACTTTCTAAGTAATGAAACGGAAAATAAAATTCCGCCGGAATTTTACGTTTTAATTTAACGTTTTAATTCAACGTTGATATCTTGAATAATAGAGAGTAAAAGCCCCTATTAGATTATATTAAGAGTGTCAGAGCGGATATGTTCCATTATCTAATGCACTCTACGTATATTCAACGCAAGATTGCGCTTGTCAAAATATTGCCAGCTTGTAACATTTAGAACTTCAGCATTGCGTAAGCATGCATTTGGGTTTTCAGAGCATGACTGTTCGCAAACCATTCGCATTCTCGGCGTATCGATTTAAATCGATGGAAAACGCGTAACGAGGTGGAATCATGACTGGCGAAAAATCAGGACGCGCGATATCACCGCAGAATTGAGATTGATCTGAGATGAACGAGAGCCGATAACTTTCTGGGCGCGGCAGTACCTCCGAGCAATTTGAAGACCGGCTGCTGGATCGCTTAAATTGTTTCGAAGAATAGATCATCCCACAGCACGTTCTCTACAGGATGTCTCAGTTAAATGAGGACATCAAAATGCGTTGTTTACCAATATGTATCGTGAAAATTTTACAAAAATGTATGGCTTTTCAAAATTTATAAGATATTTTTTCTAAGACAATTTAAACACTTTTGCTATTAATTCTAATATTTGAAGTTAACATCTATTCCTTTCAAGAATCAAACAATTCGCGTGATTATGATTAAAAAATTATTATACATATAAGAACTTCAAAAAATTCTCTTTAAAAATAGACTATTATTGCAATCAATCATTTTAGTCTACATGTTAAAAATATGTTTATTCATTAAAGAATATTCTTTTGTTGAAGGTGCCTCATATACTTCCGACGAAGTTAATGAAGAGTGCTGTTATTATGCCGCTTCTTTCAATCCAGGTTGAACGATCTATCGAGAAATCTCTTTCGGCATACAATCAAATCATGATTTATCGACACGCTCTGTACGATGAGTAAGACTGTCTACTGCCACTGGTATGGAGAAAGTTAATTTGTCATTACTGTCGTGTCTTGCCGTGTAAAATTTTGATGCAACTCATTTTCTTTTGTGCCAATGTCTCCGAATAAATTTTCGCCATGTTGACGAAAAAATTATTTTTTTAGTTGCCGTTTTACGATCGCAATGTATCTTCGTCGATTCGAAGCGAGGCAACGCTCATTAGAGCAGTTAATGTCCTATAAAAAAAAGGACTCTTTCGTCCAATCTCTTTCGATTCATGAGATAGGATCAAGTTTCTATTTTGTGTGGGAAAGAGAAAGTGTATACTCCACCGATACTAATTTCTTCATCTCTGTGTAGTCTTGCGTTTATTCTTTAAAAACGATGTCAAGACACGCTGCGGTATATTATTTGAGGTCACAGTGGGAAACGTAGAAGGTTAAATGGCAGGCAAAACGTGGTAATCGGTTGCGAGGCTAAAGACCACCGGCACTTAGTGCGTTCACTAAGCGATTTTTACTTCCGTGATCAGCGAGACGTACGAACGCTATCTAAGAATCCAAGACACCGAAGGTAATTGCGTACACAGCCGCTGCGACGTATGTAATTTTGCGGTAAGCCTCCCACGTAACATTTCACGATAAACATGCGCATTAAGCTTGTCAAAAAATGATCTTGATTTCACATTTGTATCACTCTAATGAAATCAGTATTATTTTATCGTAGCAAAATCTTGCATTTCTTTTATATTAATTTTTTTTATGCAACTGTATTCTTACTACAGTTTGCAAATTTTAATCACTTCTATTACACATTACGTTTTTTGCTGTATACATCCTCTTTACTTTCATTATACGTATTATATCGATATTCTCTTCCTTTATTACGCTTCGTTAACTTATTATGGTATCTTTTTCAGGCGCGGTAATCCCAGAACGAAATTAACTACGCTACTACGCTACTACCGCGGCATATTAAAAAAAAATTTGATTTATTGTGATTGTAGTTCAACGTATAAAAATATAATTCGAACGTGTGTAATACGTCAAGACGTTTTTGCGTGTCTGGAGAGACCTTCGCAGCTTAAAGGATACACTGTAAGTTCTATTGAACTCGGAAATGGTGGCCGCATCAATGTTCCTAGTTAACGGGTGACGCCAACCGAGTGAGTCAGCGCACGCACACATGCAAAGGCGAAACGACTCTATAACGAGTTATGATAAAAAAAGCGCGTCAACTTTCCGACAGCGCGGTAACATTAACTTTTCGATTATGGCCAGTACGATGGTCTGCAGTGAAAAACGGTTCGCTCGATAGGGCTTCTGCTTAAATGTTTCTAATTCGAGGCAAGCCTTTCCTTGTTCGTGCTGTATAAAATTCGCTGCTCATGGCTTCTATTCATCGTGATTCGTAAGTTTCTTTTAGTGCTCTATAAAACGTCCTGTACCATGTCATTTGCAATTCTTTTCAACACGAAACAACCGCCGCTATAAGACTTCCCTTTTTTATGCAGCCATCAAAGCTGTTATTTCAAACGCACTCCGATATATCATGAGGTTTCCTCCGACTTTCGAGTATATTATTTATATCGATTTTCTCAGTAAAGTTTATGTAAAATACCATTTCTAATTTCAAACCCCGATTTTTAACTTGTGAAACCGTTCGCGAGTTAAGTCATCAACACAATTTTTGCTCGGATAAAGTAGAATACGCACATTACGCGAGGAGAGAATATTGCAATGATTTGCAACAGCCAATGCCACGTTAAGCAATCTCGTTCGAAGTAACAATCAAACGGTGCGGTACAAACGCACATACTGATTTTCGCGTCGCAACGGTATGCACCGCATAATCGTAAATCTCACATTCATGGTGCACTATAAAAAAAAAATATCCACTAGCAAAAATTTTCTATTCCCTTTCACTTACAGTGCGCCGCGCGTGATGGTGACGCAAGAACAACAGCACCGCGGGTTTCCATCGCGTATCCTCGCGCGATCATGCATCGCGTGCGCGATGCATATTTCAGGGATGATTATAGTCCCCGTATAAAAGGATATATACAGTCATGTAAGAGTCATCTGAACGCGGCTTGTTGACGATGCTTAGCGCGGCTTGTTGGACGATGCTCAGCGCAAACGCAATTTAATCTCATTTTTAATTCGATATGATTTAAAGATTGAATTTTAATGCAACATTTAAATTGCAGATGCAATTCTGTACGCGTATAAATAAATTCACAGGACCTGCCGCTCGTAAATGCACTAGAAGTTATCCAAGCTGTCCTCGCCTCATTTTTCAACGCTGAGTTTTTATCAGCTGTCCCACTGCACGCCACGGTAGAATAACGTTGGTTTTGTCAACGATTGGACTTGCGGTTTCGCGCGAGCGTCTTGTAAATATTAGAACGGAGATAACGGAGCAACGCGAGTTATTCGCCTCTATGTAAGTGACCAAATTACATTTCGCTGGATAAGTGGACTCGTGAAGCGCATCGCTCACTTGAACTTTGAATTAAACTGACGTTATCTTTATTCACGAATTTATCATTCTATCGTAGAGCATTAACAAATTTGATGACATATTGTTAGGGAGATAACGTGCTTTATAAACTCGCACAAGTTCAACGTCGCGAGTCATTAGATATCTTAACGTCATTTCCGATAAATGTCAAGCGACGATAAACATTTCTGATAAGAAATGTTTGTAAAACCGAACGAAATGTAAACATCAAACGTGAGACAATTGCGTTTGTCGGTAAAAAAAAATCAAATACACGAACTATAATATTAATATTGTGTCGCGCAGTCTACGATGTTATGCGGAATAGAAAACGAGAATAGACACTGTCGCCGCGACTTGGATTTCCCTCGTCACCAGCGATCTATTTAAGATTCGTTCCAGTCGCTCGCGAAGAATCTATCTATCGCGCTTCCTAATACGAGATTATTTTTTTTCTCAGAAGGAGGGTAATCGATTTAATGTCGCGCGAGCACGAAGTAGAATAACGAGCGCCGGTACGTTTCCAAAAATACTCCCGACTGGTTCAAAAGCCGAACGGCTACTGTCCGGCCTTACGCGTTTTCCCGGTGTTCACACAACTGTTGTATCACAGCGGGTATTCGGGTCGTTTCACATAATGATTAATCATTACCGTTGCCTAATCGTTAGATCGATTAATATTTCTTTAATTTTTTTTTTTTCAGGTGACACAACAAAGTAAACTGACGAATCAACTATTTGTTTTATGATATATTGCACGTGCGAATAGATAAACGAAAAGATGAAATGCAGTCTCTTTTTTTCTGCGATAATTGGATACAAAAATTTAATTAAACGATCAGCGATACGATGATAAAATTGATTACCGGATACTCCGTACAACTGAGCCCATAAAATTCCGCAAAGATCTACTTTCTCTTTATACGGACAATTCCACGTGAACTCACTTGACCTCGAACGACCGACTTCAACATCCACGAATGTCGTTCAACGGAGCATCCGCGCGGCGCGATGCCGGAGTGTCGATGACTAAATGAAGCGGATAAATAAAATACGGACTGAAATTGAAGTATGATGGCGAAATCGGCGTACGAGCGAGGATCGATATGCCCGAGATATAGTGCATACGTGACAAATGTGTAATTAACTTGTGAGGCTTCTTCGCTTTTTACAATCTTATTTCAACGATGACAGAAAATATTGTTTTCTAACTGCGACTTTAACGAATATCATTCAGAACTGAAATACTATTGAACATAAAATACCGATGCAGAGGAATTTTTATACGACAGTTTAGCCCTTTACGCTACCAATATGCAATGACATTTTCATCCAAAAAAATCAGCGCGATTATATCAGAGATGCATTATGCAGATTAGACTGACAGCATGTATCGTAATTGTTTCATTGTTTCATTGTACTCCTTGTTGTAACAATAACGGGACAAATATCACAATGAATCTCAGTCACGCATAGGGAACTGCGAACGACCGAAAATGGCTCGAGTTGTTAACTTGAATAAGAATTTCGAAGAGACGTAAATCGGCGAGTGAACCAGATTTCAGTTAGCAACAATGCACGTAAGTTATTAAGATGAATGCAACAAGTTGGCTGAGTAGAAAATATAGCATCTCTCTTCAGATCGCGACTCGGAGCATCGACTTTCACGTTCTAAATTCCTTTATCTTTATGTTAAAATTACGACGCACTTCTTTTATAGTTATACACGTTAGAATAGTTATACATGTTTAAACTGGCAGCGAGAAGCGTTCATCCATTCATTAATATCCAATTCTAGATATCGAGAGTTGAGCCTTAGAGAAGTTTCCAAAACTGAAGCAGTCAGAAGCGGTGAACTTTTGACCGAGTAATCCTTACCAAAATGCATATCCACTGCGTTAATGAAGAAGAGCGGCGCACTGTTGTACGTCAGCACATAAATGAGATGTATCAAAAGACGGATGTCATGGCGATAGCACGCGCTATCCACAAAAAAAGAGGAACCAGTCGGAACGAGCGGGCATCACGTAGCCGCATCACGACACTCGTGGGCTTCGGTAACAAAGCACATCTTTTTTTTTTTTCACAGCCGACACAGACCGACGGGACGAGACGGATCGAGACGCGCGTTTCCTTCAAACGCTTCGTGCCTTCGTTCCCCGCTTCTTCGCGGCACTCGTTTCGTCGCACTCGTACTCGTCACGATGCATGAATGACTCCTTCGCCACGCTGCTCGCGCGGGGTCATGCGAGGGTTCGATCGCGGCAGTTGGCGGCGACGGCGGCGGCGGCGACGGAGAAACCACATCGAATGGACCGCGCGAAGTGTTCGAGCTCGGAGCGCTGCCGAGAGGTATGTCTCGGTAAGACGAGGACGGACGGAAAAACGAGTAGGAGGCGAAAGAAGAAGGGAGAGTCCGAGCGGCGGCGGCTGCGGCGGCCGGTTAGACTTGAAGGAAGAAAAAGCCGTGGGGAAAAAGAAGAAGGCTCGTCTGACTGACCCACCGTATCTCGCGATCGCAGTCGTAGTTCCTCTCGAGCGGAACCCCTGCCGCGTTTCGAAAACGAAGGGGGACGGACGCGCGCTTGTGGAGGCTCGTGAGTGCCGGTTGTAAAAGCCGGAATGCCAAGCCACGCGTTACACACCGACTTTTACGTCCAAGGGATGCCGCGATCGCAGATCGAACACAAGAGAGACGCGCACCAATTTCTATTTAAATTTAGAGAGCGATACTCTGGGAAAAAGAATGTGAACGAGGCAAACGGACGGCGAGGATTAGATGCGAAGAGACCGGAGAGATGAGCGTAGGGGAAGGATGGAAGAAGAGAGAAAGGGAAGGAAGGGAATCTTGGATCAACGTGCTCGCTCTAACGTGCCCGTCCACCGGCAGCGACCGTGGAACGGCCAACTCTGTTGGCTCGTGCAGCCGGCAGGCAGCTGGTCTCTCCAGCGCGCAACGAAGCGCATCGTTTGCGTCCGAACGCGAGCCTTCGGCAAAGATCGGAGCCCGGAACAAAACAACAAACGTGGGTCCGTGCCGGCTGTTCGCTCCCTACCCTCACCGTGTACGCCATCACATCCGCTGTTAGCTCTATTGCGTTCGTCGGTTTGAGGTAGCGAGAATTCAACCCGATACGCACGTGGCTCGACCAACGCGCGCAGCTTTATTCTTAGCACGTATTCCACCAAAACGTGCCGCTTCTTAGCATTCTAACTTTGGCGTTAACAATTAAATCTCAGTTAATGTGCGGACTGCTTCGTCAAGCTTATCGATATATTTACGCTCCTACCATGTAATACGATCCAACATATTAATTCAGAATAGAGAAACGGAAATACATGCAAAAAGAAATGCATGTATTGCAAAAATTATTCAAGGAAAGTTTTCAAAATATTTGTGCTTGTAAAACAATGTTTGCACAACAATATTCTTGTTATTGAACTTTTATTATCCGTTTATAGACTAATTTTGATATACTTATTAGAGCAGTAGTTCTTTACAATAATTAGTTATTTAATTGATAATTAGTTTTTGTGCAAAAAAATTTTTTGCGG